GGTGCAGAGGGAGTTTGTAGAGGGGATATAATGTGGAGGAGGTGTTCTGAGAAGAAAGTGGAACAGAAGGAGTAAGAGGGGAAGGAACAGAGGGGGTGGGAGAGAGAGAGGGGGGGATAGAACAGAAAGAAAGGGAGAGAGTAAAAGATGAGGGGATGGAGGAGAGAGAGAGGGAAGGGGGAAGAAGGGGGAGGAGAAAGAGGGAGGATAATCTCATTGTCCTAATTAACCCTAAATTATTCAGCAAGATACCCGTCCACGTACAAGAAATCTGCGTGATGCCCACAGAATCTTGAAATTGGCACGCTAGAGCATAATCCGTCTTCGCCCTTTTTTAGAACTTTCATTCACTTCGTAGTGATTGGCGTCTGAAAGTGAAGAATAACTAACAACACAAACACCGGCTTCATTTTTTTTTTGACATCGTAGGGAATTCAAGCGCTCGTCAAAATAAAGATATCGGAGATACCGACATTGTTCCGTTCGATTTCGCAATTGTTTTGGGTTTTTTTCAATTTTTTGTTAGTTTCTTTTTCCTCAACATCTTTTATGTCTGTTTAATAACTCATTTCTGTGAGGGTTTTTCTGTAAAACGTTGAATAAGAGCAACAAAAAATGTAAATTTTCAGTTTCCAAAAGCTCCCAAAGGCTCTCAAGTCATGAAAGCCACCAAACTTTGGCAGCTATTTTCTTGCCTTTTTAACTCTGAAATCAGGCCACGTCCTTCAATCGCAAATATCTCGACTTCTATCCCAGATTTATGAGTATTTTTTTTATCAAAGAATAGACAAATTAAGCAGCTTTAAGATGATACTAACAACTCAACATACTCAAAAATTGACCTGCGCCTGATTCCACTGCGTCGAGATATTTTTATCAAAAGGAAAGAAATTTCTGCAAGCTACCCGGCCCACTGTTAGACCTGTTGATATAATACTGGACTACATCTTGGATGACCCTGTTTCGAATCCTTCGGGAGACATGTACAAGTTATTAGGAACTTTTGAGGTAGCCTACAAGATTTTTTTCCGATGTTCTAAATCATACAATTATAAAAGCTACTGAGAGATTAAATAGTTGTATTATAAGACATCAAAGCCTTGAACATTTAGCTTTCACTGGCAAAACTGGTCGCTTTAAAGGACAGGCGGGCTAACCCAGATTTCGGGGGTTTCCAGAAATCGTGACCTTCATCAAAAGTGGGCATTGTCCTACCTATTGGAAAAGTTTGGTTACATTAGTGTGTATATTTGTTTGGTTATAGAGAAAACTCTCATTGTCTTTTAAAGAAGCTGAACAAGAATCCTAAAACTTTACCTTCAATATTCTCAAAACAGCATTTTTCGGGATAGCCCCCTGGTGCTTAAAAGCGAGCAATTAAAGGCAAATGAGGCAGGGGTAGACCCAGAGCAACCTACTTACAGAGCCTAGACAGATAGGCGGCTGGGAAAGTTCAGGATAATGTAGCTTCTTTTATAGCATCCGAGCAAAGGGATGAAGGGAGAACCATGATCGCCGATATCTTTCGTAGTTATGGCAGATGATGATGATGATGATGATGATGATGATGATAATGATGATGATGATGATGATGATGATGATGATGATGATGATGATGATGATGATACTTTAAAAGTGATTCACGTGGAAACCAGAACAGTGGAGTAAGTGCGAGATAGCACTTAGCTCACGCCATAATGTCAATGACAATAATAAAAATAAATACCAATAATAATATCAATAATAATAATTATCATAATTATCATAATAACAGTAATAATAGCAATAATAATAATAAAAAGTAATAGTAATAATAATAATAGAACTCTCGTAATAATAATAGTAATAATTGGTCTATCAATGTCTAAAGATGACCAATGCATCCTCAGGAGAGAACATTCTTCAATCAAAGGTTAAGCTTCTGTTATAGCTAATGAGACCGACAAAAATTCGGGTAGAGAAAATATGTTTGCCTCATTTTTTTTGGGCCTTCAAAATGCTCCACTTTCACTGTGTAGGCTACATGCGCATTTTGCAGGCTTCTCTCTTGGTTTCAGCATTTCTTATTCATGACTGACTTGCTCGCGTCCATATCATACAAGAAAAAGCAAGTAGCTTATGGCTAATAAAATCCCAAATGAAATATAGTGGCCAATACTTGCAAATGTAAAACGTTTTACATCGCCACTCTACACAATTTACAGCATTAAGGAGACAGTCTTCCAACACAGATAGAGTAGAATACAATATACCAGCAGATAGATAGACAGCGACACACGATTAAAAAAGAAACTGCAGTTAAAGAAAAAATAACTCAAAATTTTGGCCTTAGCACATTCTGGCCGAAGATAATATATTATTAGCTATAGTAATCATGGAGATTTTGTGTTTTTTCTCAAGTTCTCGGAAAAACGTGTTCACGTTCAGTTATCTCTTTCTTTCAACTTTCCTCTCTCTCTCCTCCTCTCTCT